AAACCAAAAAAAAACTTAGACTAAATAAATATATAAGTGCCACACGCAAATAAATAAGTAGAATAAATAAATAAGAATAAATAAATACACCCAAAAAAAAAAAACTGAACAAACAAAAAAAAATAATCCTAAGCGAAAAAAATACTCCCAAAAAAAAAACAAACTAACGATAAGTTGAACTTCAAATTCCCGCCCTATGTACAGACCCGCTAACCTGTGCCAAAAAAAAAACCCTATCGATACTTATTAATATCGATGGTTCAGCCCAGGAACAGCTGTGCTAGGCCGGGACCATTCACAATGGACTCCCTGTCTATTGACAACTTATTTGCTGCTACGCAAATAAATAAATAAAAGGTAATTAGTACACTAACTGACCATAAGACCAATAAAAACAGATTCTCACAATTACAGACTCAATCACCAGACATGTAAGGGTGAGATGGGGATCCTCAGTATGACGCTGCACCACGGCACGCTGTCACTGCAGAAGGTAAACAACCAAAACAAACATATATGTATCGCACGCTTTACACCACCCAATTTCTTCCAGGCGCCGACTAAAACTCAAATCCTGCTCGGGCTATGGCGAATTGCTGCTCCTATGCTCTGCTACGTAGGGCAACGATGCTCCTTCCGCTTGGGACTGGACATGGACCTACTACGCAACCATACATAAGAAATACCAAATAACCACAAAAAAAAAGGTAACTAACACAAAAAAAAAACAAGGCAACTAGACTATTCTTTACTTAACACCTAACAGACATTCCTCTCGATCTTTTCAGCCTCAGAACACCCTGTAGGGCAACAATGAGTGGGCACCAAGACCCCTCACGGACCTGCTACATCTGCCCCTTCGCTGCACCTACTCTGCTGGTTACCAACCTACACCGCGCTGTAAGAAGGATGCACCTGCGGCAACGATGGGCTGAGCCCTAGTGAAGCTCACCCACGGACCTGGCAGTTGCACCGTTTCCCGCCGGCTCAGGGGCCGCCAGCAGCTATTGTTGTTGAAATTTACATGTAAACACTAAATAAAGAATACAAATCAACAAAAAAAACAAACAACAAGACTCTGGCTTTTAACTTGCTTCGAACTGAGGCAACATTTGCTAAAATGTAGACCCAGGTGTATTTATATTGGGCGCCATCTTGTTATGTCCGCCTCTGCCAGTGCATCCCCTGTCGTTACGCCGGCTAGCCATCGGCTCAGGGTCAGATTCGACCGCGACAGGGGTGCGGCAGACCAACAATGAATTTATATTTTTTTTCAAACACACCTACTCATATTGTCGGCTGAGGGACGCCTGTGGAATTTGGGTGGAGTTGTGGCTACTTTGGTGTCATGTAGCCGCGTGGCCCTCCCTACCTTGAGTCGGTTTTGGCATTTTGTTGCCGGCTCCCTTCAACATGCTTGGTTTGGTTTTTTCTCCTGCTCCGGGACTTTTATCACCCCATCTCACCCCATAAATGGACTCTACTCCAGATTCATGTGCAAATTTTAAATTTTATTACAATAAAAATAAACTTTAATACTTAAGCCATTGAATTTTGGGACGCTGCAGTTCGTTGGCTATTTGTGCCTATTTTACTTATTTGAATTTTTAACCTGTTTCTACCTATACTCGAGTATGTAGTTATGAGGGATATTATTAACAGGAAATAAACAAAAAAAAAAACTGCGCCGCTCCAATACACATTACAACCTCCTTTACTTATATTAGATTTTATACATTTTTCTTTTACTTTTTTTTTTTTTTTTGTTTTTCTTTCTTAAGTATACATTTGAATTTTTGTTTACAATATGGTTACTTGTTTGGTGTTGTGTTTCTGTTTAATGTTTTATATTATGTTGTGATTGTTTGGGCTATGTGTGTAACAGAAAATTGTTAATTGTTTTGTGTGTTGTATTGTTATGTGACTTGTATATGAATGGGTGTGTATTTTGAATTTTGGCTATGGCATACATGTGTATTTTTCTTTTGGTGTAGTGTATTTGAGTTTGTTGTATATAAATGGACTATGTAGGGGTGGGCTTTATATAATTATGGGCTTTATATTAAATGGATTATGTGCGTGTGGGCTGTATATAAATTTTGTGTATGTGTTTAAATTGGGCTATGAAAATGACGGATGTGTGCGTGTGGGCTGTATATAAATTTTGTGTATGTGTTTAAAAAGAATATGCATATGTGTATAGATATATGTAAGTTGGTAGTCGTAGGGGTACTTAGCCCGAGTCCAAACGAGCACCGCTGGCTGTAATCAAATTAAAGCTGAGGCCTCATGAAGAATGATGCGTCGCCGGCCGGTGTTGGCGCTGTCGTCTGTCGTGGCTACAATGAAGCCCTCCTGCATCCAAGCTACGCTCGTTCACCAAACCGCCCACAGCCCAATTTTCAGGCCCCCCCCGTCGCTTCGGTTGCCGATCGCCTACCATGCGTAATAATATATTATTTCCTGGCATAGCTCTTTTCCGACTGACTTACCTCAGCCTAGATGTTCCCAAAGATATACTTCCTCATCCTCTCCTTGTCCTCCAGCTATTCCTACGTTCTAAATCTTCCACTTTGCTTCCTTTTCTTCTTTCTTTCCCTGTGTGCGTTCCAACTACCACGTGCACGTCCCTTTGTCACTTGCCAAAACTGTGCCTTTTCCCTGTCGGAAACTACTACTTGTCATTCCCAAGGAATTGCTACTTTACCCACTTTGCAACCCTCCTAATTGGTAGCACTGGTCCTCACCCCTCACGCACGAGTACTTGTTATCGGCCCGCTCCAGCTGTCAATCGCGCGAGTTGCCACTCCTTTTGTCCGACGACATTTGTGGTTTCCCAATACTGCCGCGCCGCACATAACAACAGGCATACATACATACAACTACATACATATGTATGTTTCTCTTTACTTTTTCAACCGTACGTAGAGAACCGCACACATAGACACGAACTGTTTTTGTGTGTGTGAGTGTGTGTATGTGATGTCCCCAACTATTTCATATTTGTTGTTGCTGCATAAAGTTATTAATGAAAACCCTCTTGCCAAATGCACTAAACAAAGAAAAAACAAGTAAAAAGGCTAAAGTCGGGTGTCCCGACTTTGAAATACTCTGTACATATGTTTACAATAATTATAGAAAATAAAAAAAATTAAGAAAATAAAAAAAAATTTTTAATCGATTTTACCTCTCTCGGTATTCGAACTCACGTAAAGGGTTTATAATTGCATATTTACATAGCAATTGCGTCTGTGTGAGTGTATGAATGCCTATGCGCATCTATTTGTGTCTGTGTAAACATGTTAGCAGTCAACCAAACAGCAACATCAACAACAGCCGCGGACAGCGCTTGAGCAGCGCTGCAGCAGCAAATATATTTATGGCTATAACTTCTTGTTAAATCGGTCTATCATGATGAAACTTGGCGTACGGACACATAATTACTAACTGGGGGTATTTACAAAATTTCGAAATTCCAAGAATTACGGGAGTTAGAGAAAATTACGATTTGCGGGGGCGAGGTGGGGTGGAGGGAAATTCCAAAAAACACATTTTCTTCGTATTCACATAAGGCATCTGGGACTAACATTTGGGGTCCCTAGCTCTTATAGTCTCTGAGATATAGGCGATTATACGAACGGCGTTACGGAAAAACCCCCATAGGGGGGAAGTGGGAAGGAAAATCAAAAAAATAAAACAAACTCGTATAGCGTACACACATAAGGCATCTTTGTGCAAAATTTGGTGTCTCTATCTCTTATAGTCTCTGAGATCTAGGTGATCATGCGGACGGACGGACGGACGGACAGACAGACAGACAGGGCTAAATCGACTCGTCTTGTCATGCTGATCAAGAATATATATACTTTGTGGGGTCGGCCACGCCTTCTTCTGCCTGTTACATTTTTTTCATGTACAGAGTATAATTACTTTTAAAAATGTTATATCATTTTCAATTAATTAACATTTCTTCCTCTGTCAGTGCAAGACATCTCTATATATATAAAACAGTTTATCCTGACTGACTGATTGGCAATCAACGCACAGCCCAAACGGTAAAAGCTAGGAAGCTGAAATTTGGACACAAGATCCCTCTTATAGTGAAAGTGAGCACTACGAAGGGGTTTCGGAAAATGCGAGCTCCAAAGGGGGGAAAACGAGCTCCAACGTGTAGTATTAAGTATATAAATAGTATAAGTGACATGGATGTTTTAGTATTAAGTATTAGTGAAATGTCTAGTATAGTTAAGTGTCAAAGGCTCTGGTGTAATCGAGATAAGGTTGTAAGGTCACACTGAAAGAAAGAGCGGCACAATAAAATTAGATTGAAAACGAGAAACAACGCGCCTTTAATAATTGTCTCGGCCACAATTATTCAGAAGTGGGATCAACCTAAAATATCGCCGACAAAGTGAAAAAAATTTTATATTTGTTAATTAACACAGAAAACAATGCAAGAGATATGTGCCGATGAGTTTTCAACGTCACAGTTGAGAATGTGGTTGATGCTGTTGAAGTGTCCGTCGGACGGCGACAAAACGGAGCTGGCTGTGCGCTTGAGTCAAATTCCAACTGAATTCCGCGGCGAGTGCCCATCAAGAGAACACGCTGCAGCGGCGCTCCAAAAAATGGTACGGACGAGCAAGAAGTGGGTGCTGGCGACGGCGGTGGTGGCGCCGAAGATCCGTGCAGGGCAATTGAAACACGTGACGATGAGCATAATGCAGACGGCGCTAACGGCCAGGGTAGAGCAGAGAACGAACTGAACATGCTAAAACTACAGTTAGATATGCTGAAACTCGAAAATGTAATGCTAAAAAAGAACGAGAAAGAGAGAGAAAAGAGTAATGAAACACACGAAGGTGCTGGCTTAAGCATCAAATCAGGCAACATGTTGATAAATGTTGTTAAAGACATGTTGCCAGCGTTTGATGGGAAGAGCCCTGTAAACATTTGGGTTGCGCAACTGAAGTCTGTGGCCGCTGTTTATGAACTCGACGACAACATGTTGCGAATGCTGCTAATGGCGAAGCTGAGAGATGGCGCTCAAATGTGGCTGCATGGTAACACAAAACACCAGACCATGCCCATGAACGAGCTGCTGGAACTAATGTTGACGACTTTCTCGGTAAAGGAAAACAAGATGGCCCTGCGTCGGTAGTTCGAAACGCGCAAGTGGAAGACAGGTGAAGAATTTCTTGAGTATTTCAACGAAAAAATGCTGCTAGCTTCGCTTATCAGCATCGATGAGGATGAATTAACAGAGACTATAATAGAAGGGATACCGGATGAACAACTACGGCGCCAAGCCCAAATGCAGGGTTTTGCACAGGCATCACAAGTCCTACATGCATTTAAGACCATAAAGCTGTCGGGAAACAAGCCGGAACGTTGGATCAAGACTGCAGAACAGAAATCTGGTACAATGGCGGTGCGCTGCTTCAACTGCAATTCACTGGGCCATTTTGCTTCGGAGTGTCTGAAGACAAAGCGGGAGCGCGGAGCCTGCTATGGATGTGGAAGTATGGACCACCAGATCTCCCATTGCACAGAAAATAAACGTGCAAGTCATGAATATGTAAGATATTTTAGCATTTATATTAAACATTTTAATGACCAGTCCCTGTTTGTAGAATGTCTCATCGATTCGGGGAGCCCAATAACCTTTGGGAAAATTTCGTGCCTGGAAAGGAGTATTGACAATGAAGTTTATAAATGTAATTTTGAAAAATTGTTAAAACGTTGTTTTGGTCCACAAATAGATGAAGGACAAGTTTATTTTGGTTTAAATAAAAGTAGATTAAATGTTATTGCAAAAATTAAGTGCTATGTTGTGTTCAGCAATGAAAAGTATGATTTTGAAATGTATGTTGTGCCAAACGAATCGATGGGATATGAGGCAGTACTGGGAAGAAATTTCATGAAAAATGTAAATTCAAAATAGTAAGCAATATTGCTACAGATAATTTAAACGTTGACCAAATGGAAAGTCTGCTTGGTAAAAGTAGTGAAAATGAATTTAGTGACGTGATAAAGAAAATTGACACAAAAGGTCAACCAGTGTACAGCAGCCACGTGGATGAAAGTACCCCAGATAGTGAGGATGGCGTAGGTGAGGTCCTGACATCTAACGGCTTGGAATATATAAATTTAGAAACTGTAAATTTAGGAAGCAAAAGTTCTAAAGTGGATGTACAAAAAGGCAAGATAAGAAATGTGAAGCTACAAAAAATGAGTGTTGAAAATGACAGGTTTAAGAATGAGTGGAGTATAAATGATTGTTCTAAAAAAGAATGTGTTCACAATGAAAACGAGTATGTAGAAATGAAATGGTTGGAAAGTGAAAGTTTACAAAAAAGAGAGTTGAATAGCATAGATGGGGAGGGCAGGTTAATAAATTCAGGTGGGGAAAATACGAGTGAAAGCAATGATAGTTTGAAAAACCAGAATATAAAAAGGGAAGGGCTAGAAATGGAAAGCTTTGACAAAGATTGTACGGAAAATGAAGTTACACACAGTGTGTGCAAAACGAATGAGAAATAGACAAATTTTATGTCCGAAAATTTTAATGTAAATAGAGTATCTGGGAAGCTACAGGAAAACGGTCAGTGCAAAAATGAAAATAGCAACAAAGTTGCAGAAAAAGCAAACGAAGATAATTTTAATTTATTACTAGTGCAATACCCGTCTTTAGATGAAGACGATAATTTGATAGTGGGGACGCAATGTTGTCATAAACTTAAGGGAAAACTGGAAGTCATGTTCAAGAAAGTATATAAAAACGCAGAAAGGCCAATGTTACCAAATGTGAAATGAAACTTAACTTTGAAAAAGAGAAACCGTTCCATTTCCCCCCCAGGCGGTTGTCATATACTGAAAAGACGCAAGTTCAACAATTGTTGGATGAGTATATAGAGAAAGGTTTTATTAGGGAAAGCGAATCGGAATATGCGTCACCCATTGTGTTGGTGAAGAAAAAAACGGGAGAATTAAGGATGTGTGTGGACTATAGAACCCTTAACAAGGGAATGCTTAAAGATAATTATCCAACGCCACTTATTGATGATCTAATAGACAAGTTGGTGGGCAAAAATTTGTTTACAAAGTTAGATCTTAAGAATGGATACTTTCACGTGTTCATGCATGAAGAGTCAATTAAATATACATCATTCACTAGACCGATGGGACAGTATGAGTGGTTGCGAATGCCGTTTGGACTTCGCAATGCACCGGCTGTGTTTCAAAGGTTTGTAAACAAAGTGTTTGCAGATTTAATCAGGACAGATAAAGTCATAGTTTACATGGATGATATAATGATAGCGACAAGTGATAGCGATAGCCACTTGGAGGTACTAGAGGAAGTATTTAGAAGGCTGGTAGCAAACAAACTAAGTCTCCGATTAGACAAATTGAATTTTTGCAGACGGAAGTAAAATACTTAGGATATACGATATCAGGTTTATATCGATTTTAACAATTGACGCAAACACGTTTGAAGAGAATTTGATAATTTGTCAAAATAGGGACGAGAAGTTAAAAAAGTTGCGAGAGACGTTACAAAAGATAGAACATAAGTTTTATGAGATGCGAAATGGCGTGATATATAGAAAAAAAGAGGGACAAACCCTATTATTTTATGTTCCGGAGGAAATGGAAAATCATGTTTTCAAATATTCACGTACAAAATTGCCTTAAATGCATCGCGTTTTCGGGGAAGTCGGGCAAGGAAAAAGGATTCTTACATAATATTCCGAAACAGTCAGTGCCATTTGAAGTTATACATATTGATCACTTTGGACCAGTTGATAAAGGTAGAGCAAATAAGTACATACTGGTAATAATAGACGCTTTCACGAAGTTTGTTAGACTTTATGCCACAAAAACGACGAATACTAAAGAAGTGGTTAAATCACTGCAGGATTATTTCAAATGTGAATGTGCCATTTTGATATTCATAACATCGCTTCATTTGGAAGCGAATTAATCAGGATACTTTGCTTCGCTTTTGCCATACCGGCAAGTTTCCGGCTTAAGACGTACATTTTGACGCCCCCGGGTGGACTTTGGCTTTTCTTGGTCGCCGCTGGATTTTGGCAAGTTCATCCAGCATCCATATGACTTTCAATGATTGTCAATGAAGTGCACAGGTAACGAATACAAATTAAGTTTCGGCCACATATTTACATATGTGTACATTGTCGACTTGTGTATAAAAAATAAATGCCAAGCGACAACCATACATATGTATGTACGTACATAACTGCGCTTAGTTGTTGCAAGGTGGACCGTGACTTTTTTTGGAATTCGGAAAATTATTTGTACATACATATGTACATATATTGACATTAGTAAATGCACAGTTTTAAAAAAGAAACTAAGTCACATTTGTACTTAATTGAGTTGTATTATTTAAACTGGTTGCGCTTGGCAAAAAATTATTCCCAGTATATACATACATTTACATATAAATATATACACGCGCATACATACATACATAATAAAAAATTGTAGTCGCGCCAAATTCTCGGCTGGGTCGTTGCGCTTTATCAATTTGCCGTTGCTTTTTCCTTTGGTACTTGTGTCCACTGTCCGTCGTTGCAGCTCGGTCTGCAAACGGTTACAGCTGTACATAAGCACACACAAAGCAACAAGCAATCGTGCGTTGGCTTTGTGCATTCTTCTAGCGACTGTGAATTTGCAGCGATTCTCTTCGCACTTGCTGCTTCGTCGAAGTTGGTTCTGCTAGCGCCTGCGTCGCTGCCGAATATTTGTTCTATTGTAGCTGCGCTGCCAACGTTTGATAACTCAAATATTAATTCGAGTTATTGAACTTGTGTTTGCTTTGCGTCGATCAGCTGCGCTAACTAATAGAACAGTGCCGGCCAAATATATTAGGCACACTTTTGAGTTTGTGCATATTTAGGCAGCTTAACTTAAAACGTGCCGGTCTAATATATTAGCCATCGTACCTGTCCATTAGTATAGTAGCGTTAGATCTGATAATCGCCAGCCATTATTAAAATTTATAAAGTCACCGCCTTTAATAAAAAAGAATCAAAATGCCTAGTAAAAGATGCAAGCAAGTTCAGAGCAGAGAACTAGACGAGTCGAATTCTAGTAAAGCCGACTGGTGGCTACAGTCGCATGATAATGTGGTTCGCGACATTGAACGCATTAAACGCTCCATTCGGAGTACCCCAGTCATCGAACCATTCGAGGTTGAGTGCAGGCTAGAAACTTTGAATAGGTATATAGAAAAGGCATTCCAAATACAAGAAGAGCTTGACAACATAAATCCTTCTCTAGCTTCTAGAGCAGACTTAGAAAGTCTGTGCGTCACAGCAAAGGCATTGCTCATGAGCAGATGTGGACGGGCAAAACTCCATACGGATAGTTTAGCCAATTCCATAATGAGTGGATCCTCTCATAGCCGGCAACTTCCAGCAATGAAGTTGCCGAGATTTAGCGGAAACTATTCCGATTATAAAAACTTTATTGGTCTTTTTGAGAGCTTGGTCGACGACGATCCATCTTTGTCCAATATTGAAAAGCTCAACCACCTGCTTTCATGCCTAGAAAAAGAAGCGCACGGTACCGTAAGAGCCTACCAGGTAACCGAGGATAATTATCCTAAAGCATTGCCAAACTTTTTGATTTGCCCAAATTGCGAAGCCCGTCAGCTGTGTCGTTGCGTTCATTGATTGATAATGTTCGCGCCAGCTACGAGTCGTTGTTGTCGTTAGGCAACGATAAACAAATTTCAAGCTTAATGCTCATACATTTGGTTATGAGCAAGGTTGACCCCACTACACGTTCAAAGTGGGAGGAAAGCCTTGACTACAGCCGTCTTCCGTCTTGGGAAGATTGCGAGGCTGCGTTCAATCGACGTTATCAGCATTTGTCCGCTGAAGAATCGTCTTGTGGCCGTAGTCAAAAAAGTTGTGCCAATTATGCAAAAAAGGGTAGTAAAGTTGCGCTACCAGTTGCTCAGCCTAGTCAGCCGTTTGGTCCGAAATGTCCGTTCTGCCAGTCGAATGAGCATTACATACATTCGTGTACCCAATTTGCAGCGATAACTCGAGACGAACGCATCAATTTCGTGAAACGGTCTCTGTTGTGTTTAAACTGCCTTAGAAAGGGTCATACAACGAAAGTGTGCAAATCAGTTGGGTGTAGAGTTTGCTCAAAACCACACCACACAATCCTGCACAAATATGCTGCAAATTTCCCACATCCTGCACCTGTTAGTCAGTCAGTAGCTGCCCAGCCGGCAACGCCAGCACAAACTTCGGTTGTTAACCATGCAACTACTGTGTCTGACCAGGTCATATTAGGTACGGCAGTTGTTCGAGTTATGGATCAATCAGGATCTTTCCAACTTGCCAGGGCCTTACTCGATTCTGGTTCCCAAGTCAATTTCATGACGGAAGAGTTGGCCAAATCGTTGAATTTAAAATGGGAAAGAAAAGATATAAGCTTGCTTGGTATAGGTAAACGAAAATCTGCTATCAGACATGTCGTGCAAACGTCGATAGCTTCACGCGTCGGCAACTTCACATTCGATTCTAAATTTGGAATTTTGAGCGCTATTTCGTCCTACCAGCCTGAAAGGGCTGTGGTAAACGTTAATGTGCCTGAGGGTCTTCAGTTGGCAGATCCTCAATTTCATAGGCCACAACGTATTGATATGCTTCTTGGAGCAGATGCATTTTTCGAGCTTTTGAGAGAAGGGCACGTAAAAGGTTCGCAGGTTCTGGGAGTTGGAAGAA